TTTGCTCAGCTGGAAGCTAGTGGGAGTAGAAGGGGTATTATAGTAATGTGGATGGTAGAACAAGGAAGGGGGAGGTATGTTGTGTTGGAGCACATACGATTACATGTAAATTTTCAGGTAAGACTCAGGAATACACATGGCATCTTTCAGCTGTGTATGCTCCTAATGATAGAAAAAAGAGGGAGGAAGTATGGTGGGAGCTAGCAGGTACAAGAGGTCTCTTTAATGGACCTTGGGTAGTATGTGGGGACTTCAATACTGTAAGGTACCCATCAGAGAAGAAGAATTGTCCAAGATTCACAAGAGCTATGACTGATTTTTCAAACTTTATTGAACACATGGAACTGGTAGACGTCCAATTATCAGGAGGAGAGTACACATGGAGAAAAGGTGACAGACATATAATAGCAGCCAGATTGGATAGATTCTTGATTTCTGCTGACTGGAATGAAAACTTTAGAAACATAAAACAATCATTGCTTCAGAGAGTTACCTCAGATCATTTTCCATTGATGCTGCAATGTGGTAGTTGGAATCCATTTAAATTATACTTTAAGTTTGAGAACTGGTGGTTGCACACTGAAGGATTCAAAGACAGAATTGAAGAATGGTGGAACTCCTTCACTTTTGAAGGAAGGCCAGATTTCATTCTAACTTTGAAGCTTAAAGCCTTGAAGACAAAGCTAAAGGAATGGAGCAAAACTCTACAGGGCAACTTAGCATTACAGAAAGCAAATATCCTCAACCAACTTGCAGAGCTGGAGGAGTTACATGACCAGAAAAGCTTGACAGAGGAGGAAATATTCACAAAATCATCATTGACTATGGAGTTTGAGGAGATTGCAAACAATGAAGAAGTAGCATGGAGACAGAGATCCAGAGCCCTCTGGTTAAATGAGGGAGACAGGAACACAAAGTTCTTCCACAGAACAGCTAATGCTCACAGGAGATTTAATAATATAGATCAGTTGATAGTAGAAGGGGAATCTCTGCAAAACTCGAAAGATATCAAGAGGAAGGTGATCTGATTCTATCAAAATCTATACACAGAAGAAGAGGAGTGGAGGTCACTAGGTTCCATCAGAAACAACCAGATGATTACAACAGAGGATAACTCAATGCTGGAGAGTCAATTTGGAGAACAGGAAATATGGGATAGTGTTAAGACATGTGCAGGTGACAAAGCACCAGGTCCAGATGGGTTCACAATGGCCTTTTTCACTACTTGCTGGGATGTGGTTAAAAAGGAAATAGTAGCTGTTGTTCAAATTTTTATGTGAAAGGAGTTTTTGAAAAGAGCCTTAATGCCACTTTTGTCGCTTTGATTCCTAAGAAGCTGGGGGCCAAAGAACTGAGAAATTTCAGGCCTATCAGTCTGATAGGCAGTATATACAAAATTATCTCCAAATTACTAATTGAGAGACTAAAAAAGGTAGTCAACAAACTGGTGGATTCTCAACAAATGGCTTTCATAAGAGGCAGACAGATCATGGACGTTGTCCTTATAGCTAATGAATGCATTGATACAAGGAAAAGAAGCAAGGAACCTGGGATTCTATGCAAGCTGGATATAAAGAAAGCATATGATCATTTAAACTGGAAATTTCTCTTTGAAACACTAAGGAGAATGGGCTTTGGTGGAAGATGGATTAATTGGATGAAATACTGCATCTCAACTATAAGTTTCTCGGTACTCATCAATGGAGAACCAGCTGGTTTCTTTCCATCACAGAGGGGTCTGAGACAAGGGTATCCCCTTTCCCCTTTCTTATTCATTATTGCAATGGAAGGATTGAACGATATGCTAAAACGAGCATGGACAAACAATTGGATCAGAGGCTTCAAGGTGAACTGCAGGGCGGATAGCAACATGAGGATTTCACACCTGCAGTATGCTGATGATACTTTGGTGTTTTGTGAAGCTGATAGAGAACAATTGAAAGTACTAAGGGTGATATTCATTCTTTTTGAAGCCACTTCTGGACTACGCATAAATTGGTACAAAAGCTTCATTTATCCGGTAAATGAGGTAATGGAGCTACAAAGTCTTGCTGATATTCTAGGTGGGAAGGTAGGTCAACTGCCTACTGTATATCTGGGGATGCCATTGGGAGTTAAGAGCAAATCTAAAGGAATTTGGAATAGTGTGCTTGAGAAGTGTGAAAAGAAGCTAGCAAATTGGAAGAATCAATATCTATCTATGGGGAGCAGACTAACTCTAATTAATTCTGTACTAGAAGCCATGCCTACTTATATGATGCCTCTATTTCCAATCCCAGTCAATGTAGCGAAGAGAATTGATTCTTTAAGAAGAAACTTCCTATGGGAAGGCAACAGTGAGAAGAAGAAGTTCCCCCTGGTTAATTGGAGCTCTGTGACAACTAGCAAAAAGGAAGAGGGACTCGGAATAAAAAACATAAGAGTTCAGAATCAGAGTTTGATGATGAAGTGGCTATCGAAACTTGAAGCAGATGAACAATCACTATGGATGAAGGTTGTTACGGAGAAATACGGAACGGAAGGAAAATGGACAACCAAATCAGTGAGAAGCCCATACGGTGTCAGCTTGTGGAAATCAATCAGGAATCTGTGACCAAAACTGATTAACAAATCCAAGTTCAAGGTAAGAAATGGTAGGAAGATTTCACTATGGGATGACAATTGGCTAGGTCAAGGATCATTGAAGGATCTCTTTCCTGACATATATTCTTTGAATCAACAACAAGTAACATTACATGAGGCATGGACGAATCAGGGATGGAACCTTACATTCAGAAGATTGCTAAATGATTGGGAGATTGAAAGAGTAACTGACTTTTACAATACTTTGGAGCTATTTCGTGGTATCAACTCTAATCAAGATCTTATTGTATGGCGAAGGAACAGGCAGGGGAAGTTTTCTATTAGATCTGCTTAAAGGAATTCAACTTGTCAAATAATCGGGTTGGTTGTTGGCCATAGAAGATGATATGGAAAGTAAAAATTCCATACAAGGTTGCTTGCTTTACATGGTTATTGGCAAAAGAAGCAGTACTAACACAAGACAACTTAATCAAAAGAGGATTCCACCTGTGCTCTAGATGTTACTTATGTGGAGAGAAGGCGGAGACAATTAACCATCTTTTTTTGCATTGTAAATTCACTGTACAAATATGGAGAATCTTCATCAGCTTACGGGGAATTTCATGAGTAATGCCGGGAAGAATTAATGATGTTCTAAATTGCTGGAATAAAGAGGGCAACATTACTAGTTATAAAGAGAGATGGAAAATTGTTCTGGCATGCATATGGTCAGAGGCGGATCCAGGATTTGAAGGTTGCGGGTGCCACTATATGTGTGTGTGTGTATATATATATATGGGCACATAACTACCACTAGCCAAAAAGACCGAATAGGAAGAATGGATGATTCAGTTATTTTTGGTTAATCCAATTTGGTCTTTTTATTTAAAAGAGGAAAATAAGTTCGATTTTAGTTCAACTTTTTTACGCTTGATTTAGTAATTTCTAGATAAAAGTACAAAAAAAAATATTTCATGAAAGTACGCCTGCAATTAGAAAATTTTCTTAAAGAGTAGCTTAATTACTATATAATTTTTGTTTGATTTGATTAATGATCATAATTCTTGGGTTAATTTTTCCAATTTAATTGTTGCATTATATGATAATTATTTCCAAAGCCAAAATTTTAAAGTTATCAATCTATGAGAACCAACTTAAAACCTCTATTAATCAAGATATTTTTTTCAAAAGCCAACAAATGATACTGCTCAAATTATATTCCAATATATAAATTTATGTTGTATCACTAGAAAGAGATAAACTATATATTACTTAGAATTTTAAAATTACGCATTGAAAGAAATTTCTTATGAAATAAGACATAATTGTAGGATGCAAAATGAAGGCTAATATAATGAAATTTAAAAAGAGAAAGAAGATAGAGGGAATTAGTAGCAAATAACAGGAAGAAAAAATAGGTGGGGAAAATGAGGAAAAGAAAAGGAAGAAGAAATGAGGACCCAAGGCCCAACAGAGAATATAGGAAATCTAGGGCTAATATGTAGGAAAAACACGGATCCGTGCAGTACATTAGAGACTTCACCAGTAACGTCTGAACCATGGCACCCACATGTCATTTGTGTAAACCGGGTGCCACTTTATATATATAACACATTTTTCATATATATCAAAATAGTTATTAAGAATTTTTGCCGAGGTGTGCGGGTGTCGTGCCACCCCGATCCAACAAGGTAGATCCGCCCTTGCATATGGTGGACAATTTGGGAAGAGAGAAACCAAAAATGTTTTAAAGACAAGTCCAGTAACATCCAGAAGATAAAGATGAAATGTTTGGCGCTTTTCTATTTTTGGTGTAAAGGAAAGTTGTTGGAGGATCATGAATCCATTTTTGATGTTCTAGATTCCTTGTGAGATGACCAAGGATATTTAATGTTTATTTTTCTTTCTGGGCACTTTCCTTGTAAATATGGGTGACTTCACCTTTTTAG